TTTTTTGGCGATTAAAAACAATTATCGCCGGTTATCTATTCTCAAAGTTGGGTTGTAAGCTGGGTCTATTCTACGCAAGCTATGATGACTTTCACCTTGATATTTTGGCGCAAATGTATACCTGACCGGTGAGCCAACTGACAAAGAGTGCCCTTCTGAATCAAATCAGCAGGATGCCCTTCTGGATCTTTCACTTACTTCGAAGACGCTAACACTGACTACGCTTCCATGGACATCTGTAATCTAGTTATTTGCCTTAATAGACGATAATATAATTAAGGTGTTTACGTGAAGTGCTTTCATGTAGGATTTTCCTGTCATTTTGGGTGACTTTAACTGCAGTTCGGCAGTTTCACTGTAACTCATGAAAATTTCATTCATGCCACTGTCACAAACTGGGGTATTAGACGCATATAAGGATTAAGGACTGGTGAGAGTGTTATAGAATTTAATAACGCAGGCCAAATGGAAAAAAAAAAACTTCTGCATTTCGCGATGTATGTGTGCATGTGTGCGTGCGTGTGTGTGTGTGTGGGTCTTTTACTGACAGCCGTGTGAATGGATCTTGTTAGAAAATATGGCAAAAAGTCCTACATGATGGTAATAGTTTGATTGCGGTGTTTACTTCAAAAATGCCACTAATATAAGCATACTCCAATTGTCTTAATTCCATTTCTGTTTAGTTCAGTTATTACTTTAAAAATAGCTGTTTTGAGCTTATGTAGGCCTACAGTTCAAAATTAATGTTTAACTGAATAAACTGTTAGCAAACACAAGTACATCTTATTGAACATCATTTATTTTCATCAATAATTTTCATTGTAGAACAGTTTCTCAAGCAGTTTGTGATGCATTTTGGAAACAGGAGATGAGCCCCTGGTCAAGTATCAAGCTTACAATCACTTACAAAGGACATCTGATTGTCTTTACCTCTGCCATTTGCGGTTGATGAAGAATTTTGACTAGTGATGGTATTGGTTGACAAGGAAGCTGGAAAAATTCATGAAATTTGAATGAAACAAAAATTAGTAAGAGACATGATAAGTGGTGTTAAATGCTGAAAAAGAGCTTGGCCATCCAGATTTAAATATAACATTGGAACATTGTCTGGATAACAATTATACTGAATTTCTTATCTCTATCTTTTTTTTTTTTATGTCACAGCTTGGCCAAAGACCATTCGTCCCTGTGGAAAGCACATTTACACACTGTGTCATATATGCCCAATGTACTGTAGCCCTATGTATCATTCACCAAAAAAAATAATGCATTTCAGAGATCATTTTAATGGTTGAAATTCTATGTGAAGCTGCAGTGCCATCATCCAAAAATGTTTAGCTATATTGGCAGATGTGAGAAAGTTTTGAATGTTTTTATCTTCTAAATGCAAATTTTGTCATTGATATGAAGCATGGATTACATTGTATTAATTACTATATTATTAAAACTATCATACTTCTAAAAAAGACAAAAAATGGTTTCATGAGGTTTGCAAATTTCAAAATTTTCATTTCAAATTTATGACTGTAATTATAAACTTATATCTGTAAAATACCACCCATTAACATTTTTCTGTATAAAAAGACTAAGGTTCGACTAAGGTTCCTCTAAGAGCAGTTTGGGCCTGTGATACCTAATACTTAATATTAATCATTTTTATTTGCTGTTATAAAACCTGGGCTCATAAAGATGATGTGGTGGCTTAATTTATGTCGCAATAGAACATAAAACGGTTAATTATAAATAGACATGTTAAGTGTTTAGCTGATAATGGCATAATAATGACAGTCTGGAATGTAGTTGTATGTTATTTTGATTTCATAAAAAAGTTAAAATATAAGATATAACATAAAATATAAGATAAAATATTTGGAATGAAACCCTGGATCTTTGACATTCATCTGTCACACACTTTTGACCTCTCTCAGATCTTGAATTCATTGTGTAATTTTGTCTGCTGCTGTAATAAAAGTCTAAGCAAACTCTTATTAGTGCATGGTGGATCAGACATGTGCTGATCAAGAAGGATCCCACAACAAAAGCCTAATTAAAATGTCTATACCAAACAATTATGGTGATTAATAATTATATTATTATTATTATTAATATTAATATTATTTAAATTTGTAATGAATATGTATTTGTAGATATGCCAAGCTCAAAAATATTAAATATAAAAAAAATTATAATCATTTTACCGAAATAATCTGTATTACTGAATAAATTCAGTTGTTAAAAATGTGTTGCCTAAGAGCTTCTAACATCAGGAATCTGGAAAATTACATTTTTATTGTAATTATAATTTTGTTGCAACTTTTTAATAATAATAATAATAATAATAATCTTGGATAAGTTATGTTATTATTATGATAATTTATTGTTATTATGTATATATTTATTTAAATTTTTTATGTAATACTACAATTAAATGTGGTTTTATGAAATCTAATTATGAAAGTGGAGGCATTATAAAGTTCAAATGAAGTGGTGATGGGTGATTATGAAATCACAATAATTTACTGTACCCTCAACTCACCGTAAACAGTAACACTGAACCTCTTTGTTGGCTGCTTTTTGTCAATAATGGTTGTAAATGTATATATTCCAGAGTCTGTGGTTTTGATGTTAGTGATGGTCAGAGATCCAGTCTGATGATCCAGCTTCAGTCTGTTTGTGAATCGTTCATCTTTATTGTATGTAGGATTGTCTTCAGTCACTTTAGCAATCAGAGTGTTGTTGAAGGTCCACTCGGTCACTTCATCTTTCAGTATTTGAAGATGAGTGTGTAGAGTGACAGAATCTCCCTCCATTACTGACACTGAATTTACTTCATCAACACCAACTACACCTGCAGAAATAAACAGAAAGCTTTATTTAACCAAGGCTCTTAGCACATTTTGAGCTGTTTAACTTGTTAAACTGTTGTGTACTTTTTTTATTGTTCATTTCCACAGTTGCCTACTAATTTGACTAAACAGTGAATCAAGCATATGCAATGAAATCTCACTTTTAAATTAGAAATAAACAATGCCTTTTTGTTCTTCCCTTGTTTTTTTCTTCCTTTCTTTCTTCCTATTGTTAGTGTGAAAATAAAAGATTTAGGGAAATTTGTTTTTAGAAACTAATGCACTTTGAGAAAGTCCTTACTAAAATATAATGTTAAATATGTTTTTGATTACCACTACAAGACTGGATTCGAGTATTCGAGCTTTTGACTGTTGTATTTATTGTGACATTTAGATAAGTGTAAATAATTCAATAATAATCAATATGTTTTGTTTAAGAAATGCCATGCAAAAAAAAAAAAACCTCAATTATATTTCATACCCCAACACAGACCGTTTTTCAAAACATCTCACAGTAATCTGAGAACAATTGATCTAAATCAATATTGATAAAGATGATGAAAAAGATTCTACATACCGATCAGATGCCATAAGAACATACAAATTAAAAGTCCTGTGTGAATCATTTTAATCTAAGCAGATCTCTAAACTGTTTTAAATAACATGCTTTGGACTAAACTAATGTAACTGTGCCATTAAACGGCAACAGATGTCTTAGAAATGCATGTCTATAAATTGTCTGGTTAACTGGAGGAGGAGAGTTGTGGTTAGTTGTAGAGGGGTGTGTTTGTGACTGTAAGCTTGTGAAATGTTTCTTTAAACGAGCATTAATTATTGGCTCATGTTGTATTCAGTTTAAAAGTATTCAGTTTAATATATTGCATTAACGATGCATTTTGTGCACTAATATACAACTCAAAATCCTTTTGCTGAAGAGACTTAAATCAGCTGTGATATTGAAGGCGGAAGAGAGTGCTTCTTATACACTCCCACCACAATCCCTGCCTCTGCCAGGACTCGAATCTGTGACTTTGTGATCACAAGTCCAACTTTCTAAGCATTAGGCCATGGCTCAATTTCAGTGAGAAGATAAATTGCATTTCAAAAATATGAACTTTAGATTGCATATGATTTTAGATCAAAATTAAATTTAGATTGCAACATCTGCAAAACAAAACAACATTTGGGACAGGAGTATATTAAGAGTGTCAAAATCCTTCCTTTTAATTATAATGTTTAATCATCTAGTAATTCAGCATACATTTTGTTAGAGTTTTACAAGCAAAAGTTTGGCCCAATGTGATATAAAAGGAAACTTTAGCAGCTCAACAATTTCATTCACCCATGTTGTTTGCTCTGCTGCTCTAGAAACCAAAACAGACATAGCAAAGCCTACAGCGAATAAAGTTTGGGGAATACATAAAACACATCCAGGCTAATAATGTCAAAAACCATTCAGGTTGTGCATACACCCCGCATCATGAAGGGGCGTGACCAGAGGCCTTGTAATGTTAAAGCAGAGAAAGTTAAAATGCCGTCTAAATGCTGCTATTTCCACAGAGCTTCTTCTGTTTCTGTATTTGGACTGCCAAAGGACACGATAAAAAGAGAGAAGTGCTTACAGTTTAATTTTAATTATGTTCCAGAAAAATATAAAAGAGATGTTCATGTGTTCATATTTCTGCCAAGCTTTAGAGAGAGTGGAGGCCCATTTATAGAGAAAGGAAATGGACCAATCCCACGTTATGCGTCTACAGTTGAAAACTTAAACATTTTGGTGTATTTGTTTGACAGGTAGGCTATATATTAAATCTAAATACATTATTTTATTATTATTTAAAAAAAAACTCCCCAGAAAATTTTCCTAGAGGCAGAAAAATGCCCCAAAACCCCCCCTACCTCTGCACATGCCTGCTTCAGAGCTGTCAGTTTTGAGCAGTTCAAGTCTATCGTCCATTGGGGATTTTGTTATATGGACTTTATAGTGTAAAGTCCATATAATTGTAGAAAAAGACTGAATAATGATTCAGTGTAAATGTGGTGCTAATATAGTGTGTATAATCAGTGTAAATCATTTGCTGCTCTGTGTGTGTTTTTGTGTGTGTTTTTGTGTGTGTGTGTGTGTGTGTGTGTGTCCAGATTGAAATCAGCTGTAGCAGGTAATCTGATACTGAACTGATGCTAAACATGATGGAATGTGTAGTCCAGGGGCCTCATGTACGAAGACTTGCATGGAAATCATACTAAAACATTGCGTACGCACAAAGCTGTAAATGTGCGTATGCAGAAAAAAATTCAGATGTATGAAACACTGCGTACGCCGAATCTCACGCATATTCTTTTGTACATCTGAATGAACGTGAAACTGAGCGCAACATGCACGAGCACAAAACCCCTCCCTGCCTCCTCCCTCGTATGAATATGCTAATGACTCTACTTTGGCAAAACCCAACAAAAAGGAAAGGCAAAAGTAAGCAAAAATAGAAAATTTGAACAGAGTGTAAATTGTAGGTGCTCCTTTCGGAGGTAGACCGGAGAAAAGCGGTGTTATTTGCAAGTTTGTTCTCCGGAATTAACAACAAAAGAAAAAAATAGAGTGGGAGAGTTTAGCTGATGCGGTTAACACCTAAACAGTCTCAGTGGTGCAGCTCGTAAGATGCATGATAACATGTATTGACACGTTCGATCATGAACTCGGTTCGAATCCAGCGTCTGATGAACTCTTTCTTCTTTTTTCCCCCGCTACATATCAGATTTTGCCAACTATTTATCACGAGAAAGATAAGTAGGAATCATCAATAAGTTTGTGCATCATATTTTATTTGCACATTTATTGAATGGAAATGTTTCTGATTCACGCATGCAAATTCATCTTCAGATAGTGTCTTTATAGCAATGTGCGTGCAGTAGATTGCTCAGATTACATTGGGAAAACAGGCGACCACTGCAAATTGTGCTGTAATGTTTGGCTGGTCAACTGTATGGTATGGAAACCTTATATACCTGCTAGATGAACCCGTCTCATACAGCTGCCATTGCAAGGCTCAGACACTTTGTAGAGAGGAATTTAACACAACTGCCTCTAGGAGTTGCCAATGTAAATAAAACAGACACGCGTACGCAATGTGCGTACGCCAGCCATAAAGCTGGTGTGGAGCTGCGCACATTCCCACGTTCAGTTCATTGTTAGTAAATCCAAACGTGAGCGATTCTGAGCGTGAAACCTGGCGTACGCAAAGTTTTTGTGCGTACGCAGTGTTGATACATGAGGCCCCAGGTGAATTACTGTTGGAGTGCACATATAGCTGGAGTGCCCTCTAGAGAGTCTGGTCGGTACTCCAGTTAATGCTCATAACATTAAGTAATTCAGGCTTGTTTGAAACCCACTGTACAGGTGTCTTTAAAGGTTCAAGAAGCCCTTTAGTACCTTTTTAAAAAAATATCAAATTTTTGTGTGCTGATCAGCATTTAAGAAAATGTTAGCCCCTGTTAGCTTTAAATCTGGAAAACTGAATAATTTTGAGCTTTTGTCAGCTAATTTTCTGGATTTAAAATCATAATTGGCTCTGGATTATAATCAGTGATAAAGCGCTATAGCTGCCTGTCCAGTGATGATGAAACAGTTTCTCATTATTATTCATAGACCGAATTTTCTTATCCTATGAGAAGAGCTTGCTTCTTAATTATTCATGACAGCACATGCTTTCCACCTCTCTGCACTGAGAAATCAATGTAGATATTCTTCTGCAGAATCTCTGTAAGTCTCTAAAACAACGCTAAAGAACACTTTCCCTTCAACACTCAACAGTAAGATGGATTGAAACAGATGAATACTTTGAGTTTCCATCTTTAGGATCCACACTCCCTCTGCACACCTCCACTGGTCAGCAACTCTCGCTCTTTGCATGTCACTCTCAGGATTTTCCAGAGGTACTGCAGGAGCTGGGAAAAGTGCTTGTACACAATCTATGATACACCACTCTTACCTGGAGCAGAGGCAGAGCATGCTGCTCTAACAATGTCCTCAACCTCTTTTAGACTTGGCTCCCTCAGGTCGAACATTGTTGTTGGGAGGGCTGGGTTGATTCGTGCTTTATTCTGTTCAAACTCCTGTTTACTCATTGTATCACTCTGCATATCATGCAGGAATGTGTTTAGTTCCTCTGCTGAACTTGTGAGCCTGCCACTTTGTTTATCCCCAAGTAGTTGCTTTGGTAAATTAAAGAATTTGCAAGGAAAAAAGCACACTTTCTAGCTCTCTCTCCCTCTTCCTCTATACCACTCTGCTCTAAAGCTATGTGCCTATGTGCCCCATTTCAAGTGTTACCATATTAACAAGAAATGTCAATAATAGCTTATGCTTAAACTTACATTTAAATGTTTCAATTTCAAAGTAAATGTGCATAATACATATATTGTTTTGTAAAATAAAATAAAATTTGATGTAAAACACATGGTAGTATAGTTCAATGATACATTCAAAGAATGTAAACATCCATAAAAAGCATTTGAACATAACCCAAGGAGCTGGTATGATGAACAAAGAGTGAGATAGAATAAAAGAAAAATGTACTGATTAAAATAGTTGCAGAATTCTTATCTTATTAACTTTATGCCATTGGTCTGCAAATTATCAGTACATTACATGCATCTTGAATACAATGACATACTACTTACAACAGAACTATACTTAATTTCTAACATGCAGTAAAAACAGTGTTACAGCTATCATGGTCACTCTGACTTCTTGACCTGGCCTGGTGACCATAAGAAAATGCAGAAAGATACATGCAGAAATGCATTTATAAAAGAGCAATGACACACGTTTCATTCCAGTTTTACTCTAAAGAAGGCTGACACTAAGGTCATCATATAATCTAGAGACAGTTAAACCCTGATTCAATTATTTCATAATAATAAAAAAACAGAAATCTTGATCCAGACACAACTCGTTCAACAAAAAAGCAACGTTACTTTAAAAGGAGGTGGGTTACCTCATCAGCTATTTGCATGCAAAATACATTCTTAGAAGTACAAAACCCTAAATTTACTGTTGTCATTTTGAGAAAGGGAATATTCAGTTCACAGTATTGAATAGAAGGGATTACAACTAATAAAATGAAAAACAACAACTGGTTATTTCTGTTTTAAAATTCTTGATACATTATTAAGGGCCTAAAGTCTTTCCTGTTCAGCTCTTCTGGATTTGATGTCGTAAACCAGCACAATGAAAGCAGCCACAGCAGCCAGGCCCATCAAAGCAGTGACGACCAATCTGAGCAAAACTTCAGTACTTCCATAATAATTATAAGGGACTTCATCTAGAGTAAGATTAAGCACAAAACAAGAAATTACCTATTTAGAAAAGGCACACAAATATCATGATCTACCAACATAACAACTCGGTAAATAAATGCTAACATCAATCCTATACTAATGTACCTGAACTCATAAAACAGAGATCAGTAATGCAGTGATGTGTGGTGTGGTTTGTGAAGGTGTTGTTGACCACACAGCTGTAGGTGTTGTTATCCTGATTTTCCACCTCCACATGTAGAGAGAGACTAATGCTGAGATCAGACACACTGATACTGGACAATACACTGTTTCCTTTGTACCAGGAGAGAGTCGCACGATTCACATTCACCACTGTGCACAGCAACAAATGTTTTGGGCTTGAGGATTTTCGTGATGATGAAGAACATTCTGAAATGTAACTGGTAATGACCGGAATGGGAAGTGGAGCTGCAAAACGTGAAAGAAAGAACAAAAATAAAGTCACATTAGTAGCTTTAAGTTAGAGTACACCATTTGTACTTTTTTTTTTTAACACTTTTAGACTAACATCATCTAGTATTTTGGTAAATAATTGCTTTGCATTCTGGGAATAGTAACAATAGAAACCATCTAATAATTTATTAAACTTTTAATAAGAATAATATAAGTTCATGATGGAAACTTCAAAGGTGCTGATAATTTTTTTTATATCTTCTAGGTATTGCAGACCTGTTAGGAATAAATGTGTACCCTTTTGAAACAGTTTTGTTTTTACTGTGACCTCCATGGTCACTGAACGTGACATCAGCTAGACAGCAGCAGTCAGTGGTGACTAGGGTGGGTCTATCCCCCACTTCATATTATGTCAAGGCAAACAGTTGAAATAGAATTAAAGCACCAAAATCTTGCTACTCATCAACTATGATACAATTTAATTATTTTTATTTTTATTACCTTAACTAATTTCTCATTTTATTTCATTTGTTTCGCTGTTAGCTTTTTCATGCAACTCTTAATTTTTATTTTTTTAATGGAGCTTTTTAAAAAGCCAAGTGATTGCTTTAATTGTACAACACTGTGTTAAAACAAAAACACACTAGTGTGGACATTGCCTGAGGCGTTCTTATGTGTGTAGTAAAAGGGTTCTTCTTTTCAACTGAGATGAAACAATGCTTCCATCTGATGGTAAGAACTAGGAATAACACCAACCAAAACTGCTGTATTTTGTGAAGGCTTCATACAGGCCCGGCGCCAGGAAGTCAAAACTGAGGGGGCACTTTAAATCCATAGGGGGGCACTAGACCTGGTGACTGATTTTGGTCTCTTGTTTCTTTCATTTAGGCTATTTATTCGCATTTATTATTACTTTGCATTACTGCCTAAGTTAGTGACCTAAGGCAGTAATATAGGCTACGTTTTAATAGTAATAACAATACGCAGTTTCGCTATTACGAATTTTATTAACGATGGTAATGCATACCGCTTATTAATGCAGACGGATGATGGCTTCAGTGCCAAACGAGTGCTTTAAATCATATGTTATTCTCCTTATTTCCGTTTTATTTCAAATAACAGACCTATGAATGTTTAAAGTTTTAGGTAAAGACGTCAAATTATGCCCACACATGCAAGCTGACCCACGATCAGACAATTCATTTAACCGGTAAATAAATATAGTGAAATCAGCTTAACCGAGTCATCACGCTTCACAACCAACATCAGTGTTGGGGAAAAGCTAAATGTGACAATCTAATGTCATTCAAAACAATTACTTAGTTACATTTTAAGGCATTAGTGTAGCCAGAAAAATACCTAAAAAGATACAAAAATTCACAGTTATTACCGTGAAAATTGGTTAAATTTTTATATGCTATATAACTTTTTTTCATCATTTTAAATGTAAAAACAAAGATTTGTCTAAGGCTATTATAAATGTGCTTTTTTCGTGATATTGTAAACCATCATAAACCATATGTACCATAGTTTCTAGGCCTACCCGTCATTTTATTTATTAATTATTTTATTTATTAGGCCTTTTTAATAGCTTGTTTTCAGGTTATTTTCATTTTAGGGCCATGAGCTAAGTCAAAACAAACTCGATATGTTGTATTTTAGCTCTTAAAACAGATCTACAATATATTTTATGTTGCTTAATTTTGCATGAGCAAATAGCAGTATAGCCTAAGTTACATATTTTTAAAAGATTATCATTCTGCCTACCTGCAGCGCACGAGATTTCTCGGTTGATCCGCGGTAAATCCACTTAAGCACTACCTATTCCATTTATAACACTGCAAACTTGACTTCGCAGGCCGATCATCTTTAAACGCAAAATGCATTTATTATGTGTTATACCTTGACTGCAGTTGCATAATGGGATGTTTCTCTACGCAACTGTAAAAGTGCACTTTTCAGCAAAATGAAAGCAAACATTCAAAGGGTTCTGCGTTTTGTCAATTTTAGCTTAATTGTAATAATATTAATAAATAAATTAAAATATTATTTATAGTGTAGCCTACTGTGGGACTGTGCAGTAAACTATTTATTTTTATTAAAACATTTTTATTAGGCTACATCTTCCCGAATAACTAATAAATGACTGGCAGTTGCGTCTCTGCTAAAATTAATTTAACAGCAAATTTCTTATGTGTTTTTTACTTTTAGAGCTCAAGAGAGTTGTGTTTAAATAATTAGTTAACCAAAACATTTAATGAATTAAGCTGCTCCTATCATGTCACCCATTTTCTCCCTTGTGAGTTGAGTGCGCCTCCATCGCCGTGTGCGCGTTTTAAAGGCTATTTACGGGCGCACCAGACCTGACGCGGGGACCGGATCTCTGGACTATAGGACTAGTTTTAACCTCACCATTTTCATAATTTAATTGCTATGTCATATATTTTAAAATATTTAAATGTGTGTTCTGAAGGTTGGAAGGACGGGAGTGTTAATAATTAATGACAGAAAGAATTTTCAGTTTGAGTGAACAATCCTTTATAAAAACTGGGGGGGCACAAACTCTGTCTGAGGGGGCAATGCCACCCTTTGCCCCCCCTTAGCGCCGGGCCTGGCTTCATAAGTAGTTTCAAAATATATCAGTAGAAAAGTGGGTAAAACTTTACTTGAAGGGCTGTTTATAAGTTTGTCATGAAACCGTTATAATCATGACATCACACAGCATGAATGTGAATGGGATGTAACACATACTTTTGACAACATTAAGTGTCATTTGCACCATTTTAAATGCAAAGATTACATTGACAACTTTATCTTTGTCATGAAATTACTGAGACAACATAATTTGTCATAAGTCAATCATAAACATGATTGTCATGAGGCCATTATAATTGTCATGAATATTTTTCTGATCAGTTACCAATGGAACAAACATATTTAATAATGAAATTATTAAACAGTGGTTTTACCACTGTAGTTGTTAAAAAATTAACAATGCTGTTAAAAAATGAATTACGTTTATAATGGCTGCATGACAGTCATGTTTATGACAGATTCATAATCAATTTGTCTTTGTAATACCAGGTTGTCATGACAAGCATTGTCATCTTTACATTTAAAATGTCATAACTGAGTGAAAGAGACTTAACAACATTTTTCATTGATTCATTCATTTTCTTGTCAGCTTAGTCCCTTTATTAATCCGTCTTTGGACTGTGGGGCAAACTGGAGCACCTGGAGGAAACCCACACGAAGGCGGGGAGAACATGCAAACTCCACACATAAACGCCAACTAAGCCAAGGTTTGAGCAAGCAACCTTCTTGCTGTGAGGCGACAGCACTACCTACTGCGCCACTGCCTCGCCAACATTTTTCATATACACGAATAAAATCTCCTTAACGTTCATGATTGTCACAGACAAGCACAAAGAGGGCACACTACACATCACACCTGCCACTGAACTGGACTACACATTCCAGAATCCTCAGCACCTGACGCCAGATGTTCATGAACTTTGATTACACACAGCTGCAGATCATTTACACTTGGACTATTTAAGCACCACAGACAGTCATTTTTACTTTATACTTCTGCGTCAAGTGACCGGCGTAACTCACGGCGCAGGCAACGCGCGCAGCTGTGCATTTATACTCCTGTGCGCTGTCTCTGTTGGTCTGCATTAACACTTCCGAAACGCTAGTTGGCAGTAAGGTGTTTATGTTCCTCTGTGTCGAGTTTCTTCTCTTCTGTTTTGCTTTTCCTGAAAACTTCCGGGATGTACAAGTGAATAAAACTCGCTCATTTTGAGGCAGGAACCGGCGGACTTGCAACAACTTCAACTATGAGGTAAACACAAAACAAAACTTTCCATCCGGAGCTCATTCACGGGACTCCACACTTGTTAACAATCGCTTGCGGCATTCGCGCGGCTCTCGGTCCTGCCCAGACTTGTCAGCGCTACCAAGCCGACCAATCACAGAGTTTGCGCTACCCGTTGTTGCGACGTGTAGTTACATTTTTTGAGAGATGCATGTCAGCAACGCCGATGGCCACGGCGAAGGGCTATGCGTCAGCGCCGTAGCATACGCCGGCGTTTGACGCAGAAGTATAAATCTGCCTTAAGACCGAGAGCCGCGCGAATGGTGCGAGCGATTGTAAGTGTGGAGTCCCGTAAAGGAGCTCCGGATTGAAAAGTTTTGTTTTGTGTTTACCTCATAGTTAAAGTTGTTGCACGTCTGCCGGTTCCTGCCTCAAAATGAGCGAGTTTGAGTCACGTGTACATTCAGAAAATGTTCAGGAAAAGCAAGACAGCAGCGAAGAAACTCGACACAGAAACATAAACACCTCACTGCCAACTAACGTTTCGTAAGTGTTCATGCAGACCGACAGAGACCGTGCGCAGAAGTATAAATGCACAGCCACGCTCGTTGCCTGCGCCGTGAGTAACGCCGGTCACTTGACGCAGAAGTATAAACCAGGCTTTAATTGTTGACGTTTTCGTGGTTTTATGAAGTGTAAGCAAATCCAACCAAAAAGCTCAGGTTTTACTATCCGTGCAAGTCAATACCATGTATAATAAACAGCACACACAATAGAAACCATCACATAATTTGTAATACTTCAAATAAAATTGTTTAAGTTTATCATTAAATGTGTAGTCCATGTGGGTTTCTGCCTGTAATTTGTTGTAGCCTTATATGTTAAAATTATTAAATCTTAATGGAACATGTTTGAGAACACCTCATTAAAAAGTAATGATTTTTTTTAAACTAATGAAATTTTTTAAACATTTTTTATTATAACAATTAGAATTAATGTAATGTTTTTAGCAGTAATTCTATTTGCAAAACACACTGAAGATGTACTTGCCTTTAATTTGAATGTACTAGTCACACACTCATACAGCTTTAGCGTTATCTTGGTGTTTTTATTGTAAACTAAATTGATTTTACACATTAGCCCATGTCTAGTGAAGGGAACTACAGAAAGAATTCTGTACACCTATCCCTTTGCTGTTAATTTTACATGAGATTTACAACACTTTACAATGTCACTCACATGAGCTTATAGAGGAATGTAAAGCAAACAAACTGCATCAATAAAAAAAAATGTCATTTGGCTGTTTTAACTTTAACCGGAGCACATTATATATATATATATATTATTTTTAGAGTTTGTATATGTTGTATGTTTGTTCTTAATTAAGAATTAGTAAACATTAATAAACTTGGCTATTATTATGGCGTACTCAACTCACCGTAAACATTAACACTGAACCTCTTTGTTGGCTGCTTTTTGTAAATAATGGTTGTAAATGTATATATTCCAGAGTCTGTGGTTCTGGTGTTTGTGATGGTCAGAGATCCAGTCTGATGATCCAGCTTCAGTCTGTTTGTGAATCGTTCATCTTTATTGTATGTAGGATTGTTACCAGTCACTTTAGCAATCCGAGTGTTGTTGAAGGTCCACTCGGTCACTTCATCTTTCAGTATTTGAAGATGAGTGTGTAGAGTGACAGAATCTCCCTCCATTACTGACACTGACTTTACTTCTTCAACACCAACCACACCTGCAGAACAATATTAAAGTACTACATTTAACTTAAATTTTCTTGCCAGTTCATTTTTTTATCACTTTGTAAAAAAACAATGGTAATAAAAAAAAAAAACATATGAAAGTTAGCTATACTTACCAACTAGATAACACAAAAAGACTGACATAAATATATGAAACATCTTTGTATAATGTCCGAAAACTGAAAGCATTCTGATATTACTTTAAGGTAATTAGAATTTTTTTTAACTGACTAAAATCCTTCAGTCATGCCACAAGTAATGAAGTAGCTGTGTACTGCCATGATTAAGATGAGCAACTAGCAGCACTGTTGTTTCAGAACAGTAGAGGAAGGAAGTGAAGGGCGGAGTTGAAGACGAAATAAACATTTCATATTGTGCATTTCACAATAGTGAAATAAACATAATGGAGAGCATAGTGAGTTGTCTGTAATGATTTCACAGGGGTTTGTGTGTGTGTGTGTGCTGTAAATTTATCATGTTGTGCATATTTGTACAGTTAATCTCCACAGTTATTCAAAATGCAGTTTTTTTTAAGAAAAGGTATAAATATAATGCATGTGATTTAATATTCATTACAATATTTAATAAGATAATTTGTCATATTTAATTTGTTACAATAAGTCTTCACAGGATTTGGGATTGTCTTTTTACAGGTCTTAGAGCTGGATCAAGGGATGCACAATCTCTGGATACCTTCGAGTTAGAAACCCAAAGCAAATGAAAATTGCTGCATGCAATACTTTTTTTGATGTGGACACCTAACCTCACCCCCCGATCCTACAGCTCACTAGCTTCATTCTTAGTCTGAGATATGCAGTCTCAGTTTGCAAATCCAAGTCTGCATCCAGATACTATTGGAGACATTGCATTCAGACATTACTGTCCCCTAGTGACATGAGAAAGTCTTGGGTTGTTGACGGAAACCATCAAAATAGCATAGTTTGAGATAAAATTCCTATTTAAATAACGTGTACTTGTGTCTTGTTTATCTTATTTATTGCATGTAGAAGCTGCAGGGCTTAAAATAGGTCCTGTTTATTAACATGCATTTTATTAGGCTACATGTCTATACCGTGTAAATATGGTATTTCAAGTTTATATCACTAATAAACTGATGGTAATACTATTCATGTGTGTTGCATCGACATTTAAAATATAATAGATACGTACACGTTGTTTAAATAGGATTTTTGTTCCTCTCAAATTAGCCTTGGGTCCATTGCAAAGAGTGAAAGTATCCGTATTTCGTTTCACTTCAACAAAGGAGAAATCACGTGACTTGGACTGTTAAGAGCGAGTCGTAACCATAGACTGTGGTCGTAACCCAATGATTATAAGTCACACGAAAACTTGCTATAGTAATTTATAGTGTTTTTGAATAGTAGCTAACTACTATAGCTATAATACACCAGAATGTATCATATATAGCCCTATTATATAGTTTATAGTATAGTAGTAATAGTTTATAACACATTATGAATTACTTTAGTAAACTCTTAAAGTGTAAAACAAAAATAAGAAGTAAATAATGTAGTAGGTTATGCTACAGCTACGTTTTACTAAAGTAAACTGTAATGCAATATAATAGTTGTAGAAAACAGTACAGTTTTGGTAATGTATGTGACCATTTCCACAGCAATAGAATTACCACAAAAGATAAATTCAATTAGGCTACTTGTCTACATATACATTTAAGTATTATTTGACGTAGCAACCTTTAGCAGAAATCACGTGATTGGAACGTGATCCGGAGAATTCAGTTCCCCTGTTCCCCCGTTCACAGCGCATGCGCAATTTTACAGCTGATTTCATGTACACAAATCATGACGTCATGAATTCGCTTCGCATAGTTGTTTAGCTGTATTTTCGTAAGCCCAGTGTTTATTTCATCACAGAGTTTATAAAATTTTGTAATTATTTGCATGGACACCCGTGTCTATTGTATTGTTCCTGTTTTTAGCACGCGTTCGCTTGTTTCTTTCAAACAGTTGTTGAAAAAAATAAACCATACTACACTGCACAAATTATAGTGTGTTTTATTTCAGATAAATCACAGTGATACTTGTGTTGTTTTAAAAGACATATTTACGTAACTTGTCATGTATCTTCAGAAAGTCACTTTACATTAAAAACACAGGAGTAAGGATTTTCCCGAAGCAGAGGAAAGTGTTACCTTCTGAGGATTGGAAAACACAATATACAATGCCTTTTTAACATCAGATTTAAATCTAACAATTTTGTTACATTTAAAAAACATAAGTAGGCCTAAATTAAAAGGATACATTACAACCCTACACAATGCTTATCACTATACACACACACACACAAACACACACACTCACACACACACACACACACACACACACACACACACACACACACACACACACACACACACA